GCAACTTGTTCCAATTTTCCAATTCTCACTTTTCTCTCTCATTTTTATTCTTAACTTTGCAGGGACTACCAAAATCCTTCATTGTACCTCAGCCTGGCTCAAACGTGTGCACACACTTTCGCCAATCGTGCCATCTCGTCCACCATGGACCATGCTCAAGGCAGAGCGTTTCATCATCACCTTGCTCGGGCACTTATGCATTTGAATTATCTTGCTGGACTACTGCCATTCTTTGAACCAGCAATTGAGTGGGATGACCCATTCACTGAACACAATCCCAGAACGGGGAGTTCAAACCCATCGTCCAAATCTCTCCACACCTTTGTCCCCTTACCTATTGCTCCGACAGCACCATCGATGGTATCCCACGGAAGCATGCCGACCCATATGGTCATCAATCCGGAACCACATCTCCGACCACTAACATTGTTCACCAGCCGAAGTGAACGTACCACAGAGGATGCACATTATCGAAGGAACGGTGACCAACAATCCATACCGACTCCTGCCAACCCCAAATGGGGTCGACTTGTGCCTGAGTTACCCCGTGCAACAACACGAGCCACCATCCCGGTTCCGGCACGCTCCAAACAACGATCCCATCCCACGGACGATCCACAACCAAAGAAAAAACAAAGGGTGACACTTCGGGACAATATGGGGAACTCCGCTCCTGAATCCACTACTAACCCCCCAATTCTCCCCATTATCACCGAAGCCCCTTCGAACCACCTCAATTCGGAGGATTCTGACGATGATACAGCATTCAGGGCTCCCTCAACCCATGAAAATGCTGCCGTGGAAACTGGTCCCACCCGACCTACGAATCCCAGTCCAACACCACCTCCAGGCTCTTCAACCTCCATTGAACCTACACCAGTTACCACCACCATCCGCATTCATCAACCCGCAGATTCGACGAGGGATCCAAATTCAATTCCCTTTCGTCCCTGGACAGATATGGAAGACCAAGAACTGATCAATCTCAAGAATTACACCAAATCCCGTCCTTCATGGAAATCTATTGGCGCAAGTTTGCAAACTGAGATGGGGAATCCTCAAGCAAATGTCCGACCAACATGGTTTGGCACCACCTCATGAACCGGAGGCAGAGGACTAAATGCGTCGATCCAAAAATTCTCACATACTCAGTACTCACATGTCATTTCACATCCTTGTTTTTCTCCTGTTATTCGGTTTTTCCTTGGCTATTCGTTGACAACTTGCAATTTTCCTTGACCCATCAGTCATTATGGCTTACTCATCCAATTACGTTCGCGTGGCCCCAGATCGCTCCCCTTCTCGGGATGATCCGCCCATGTGGAACCAATGGAACTCCTCTCGTACACTCGATCCTCAATTTCGTGCTTCATGGCATCAATACCGACCAACCCAACAATCTCGTCGGGTACTGGTCATTGTCAACTTAGAACAAATTCGCCATCTCATGAATTCCCGTCACTGTGACGCAATGGAAGCAACCACGGGCCGACTGGAAGAATACGCACTGTTCACCTACAGCTTCTTGGTTCATCCAGCTCAAACTGAGACTCTTACGGTGGACATCATGCTGTATTACATCAGCCAGCACATCACACATTGCTGGGATTACTACTTAGAACCTTCTTCGATGGATCTTCGTTGGCAAGACAATACTGGAGATACCTTTGCTCTACGCAATGGGCAGATCCTCATCGGCTTACTTCGTGAACATCGTCCTCATTGGACCGAAGGACAAAACCAAGGTCTCCTCAACACCATTCGTTACTTTGATAATCCCAATCAACCGTATATCATGCGTCTGAGTTGCCATGAGGCACTCTCAAACCCAAACATGCTTCCGTGAACCTGTGCAGGAAAATAATCGACTCGCTGACATCACTGAATCGCATCATGCTCTTCTCATTTGCACTACACATTTCTCTTCACCAGTTTGTTACATGTTGCTAATTTTTTGGCTTAAGCTTCACCATGACAAAGAGGGATTCCTCCTACGCCGGCTTCGACTCCGCTCCCATGCATCGCCGTCCGTTCTCCCTTCCATTCCCGAACAGAAGCGGCGCTGCTTCTTCGGAAGATGCCTTGTCATCGACACCAGGGCACTGGCCCCAACACCCATACTCCTCCCAAGGGGATGCTCCAACCAGCACCATGCCTGGCACAAGTCCTTATGGATATGCATCAGAAGCTCCTCCCGTCCCACTTCCATCTGACTCCCCTCGCCACTATCACGGGGAAGCATATCCGTTACAATCTGAGATTCAAAAAAGGCATAAAGTACATCATTCCCACATCTTCAAAAAAGTCTTGGGAAACCAACAGACGGGTGAACCTGACCGTCTCATGGTGACGGAAGTCGATCGTCAAGGAGAAGAACGGAACCGTCAACCGGAATTCTTCTTCAATGGTATTGTTGGTCATGTGAGATCAGAAGATGATGGTTACATCAACAGCTGGGGTCAAGCCACTCGACTAGCCAACTACTGGCGTCGTTTCTACAACATCGCTGAAGTCCATGAAAACACCTCGTGGAACTCATCGTGGCAAGCAGACCAACAACCGTCTGACAATGCTGACCGAACATCGGACGCCCATGAAGTCCCATACAACTCAGATATGGAAGACAGTGCATCCCTCAATGCCAACATAGGCACTTTGCCTATTCCGAGTCAGATCCACCAACTGGCTGCCGTCCTCTTTGACATTCTCAACCGTGACAGGGAAGCAAATGCAGCGATCCTTGAGAAGCTTGAGAACCCTCAAGATGACTTGAACACCAGTCCAATTCAGGTGTTCTCGGCAGGAGACTTGGCTCACCTTGCCAGCCATTTGGCAACTACGTCGCAGACTCTGGCTCGACATGCCCAACGCTTAGAGATGGAAGACTTGTCAGATATCGACGATAGCTCCTGAAGATGGCGATGATTTTCTGACCCATACTGAGCATTCCGGCAAATTCATTTGCACTTCTTTCCCTGTATTTTGATTTGATTTCTTTGAAACATCCAGCCTCAGGGAACGTATAAGAGCAGCTCGACACTTCTTGCCATGTTGCACAAAATGGCCTCGCGGCAGCGGGGCATGTGTGTGAAACATCTGAGCAGATGTAAAACTTCTACCTTCACGCTGTCGTTTTTGTTTTTGTATACGTTATTTCACGTGATTTCAAGCAAAGGAACTTTCACATTTGCGCATATTCTCCTGGATTTCGTCAGCTTTATTTCACGTTATTTCAAGCAGGGGGGCACAGAAGGCCCATAGAGCTGTGCCCAACGAAGCTCTCTATGGTGTCCTTAGGATATCCAGGCTGATCACCTGGACGTACCTGCATCCAATTTTCAACAGTTTCGATGTCAACTTTCAGCAATGGGACGTGGCTAACCCGAGAACCACCTTGCCGTTTCCAAACAACTTGTTTTCTTTTTCCAATGTCAATTGAGGAAGATTGAGCTGCATCAGAACAATTTACTTCGCACAGTTTCTCACTTCTGGTCATCCAACCACTCCTGTCAGGTTTAATTGCAGTGTTTTTGCACGTACGATGCATTCCACATCAGAATTCGCAAAGATGTTTCTGAGCAAGTGTGTGTAAGAGTTGTGTGTGATAGACTTGTGGGTGAAAGAGAGGTGTGTGTGAAAGAGTTGTGTGTGACAAAGTTGTGCGTGTGAAAGAAGGACGAGGAGCGGACGGCGGACGGGAGGCGGACGGGATACAGAACAAAAAAAGAACCCCACACAAAGATGTGGGGAACAATGCAGACAGGGATGATAATTTTCAGTAAAAGCAGGCTAGAAACACAGCAGCGATAATGATAACGATGAAACAGGTGACCCCACGATAATCCTGTCCGTTCTTGTAATTATATACTGTTCTTACCATGTTTTCCGGTTCCGATTTTTATGTGGTTTTGGGTTGCAGCGGCTTGGCACAAGCTTTGTCAGAAACACTTCCGACAAAATGGGGCAGATTTGGTGCCTTGACCAGGTACTTGGACCCGGCTTCAAATGCTACCCGTACTTGCCCCCAAGGCCGCGGCATCAAAAAATGCGGAAGAGACCTTTTTAACTTACAATTCACAACGCGGTGCCCTGAATGCAGTCGCAGCTCCCTGTATTGTCGAAAACAATATTAACGCTAATATATGATGAATCCAAGATGTCGCGAAGACAGCATACAGAGACGGTACGCGATGCGTATGACTAAAACAGACATCTTCCCGGCCCTAAATATGGATAGGCGCAAACGCATAGTTTTCCAGGTGCGCATCCAGCACCACCAATTTTCATTAAATTCAGTTCCCGCGCGCCAACCACAACATGCACGCTTCTTGACATCCCAATGATCTGGCCCCTTTCACCACCATACTGCTTGACACACCAGCTACTTTGATCCACGCATCCCATCCCCGACCCCCCCTGCAACTGTTCTGATGTGACTAAGGCGCCCTGAAGTGCCATACTGCATGCGCGTTCTTTACGGAGCAACTCCGGGCTCCAAGACTGTTCTGGCAACCGGAACAAGGCAGATAGGCCAAAGCGCGCTTCAACATACCTTAACTTTGTGATGCCTCGCTGCCACCGCAAAACGCCTTCTAGCAATCCTGGTCAGAAGACTCCAAATTACTTCTTGCAACTGAAGCAACCCATATCTGACCCCACCTGCCACTGTTCGGCCAATACCATTGTAAGGTCCACTCCCAGCAAGCTCTTCCAAGTTTCACCCGCTGAACTTGTCAATGGCGCACCTTCCGGGTTGCGACCCGCCTCTCAACGATTCAATTTTGCATGCGTATGCACCGTGCCCGCTGCGCCATCTGCTTGGTCACTGCGCTCATTTATGTATCAATTTCACGCAATTTCGCATTCCGTAATTGTCGCGCGCGTTCCGGCTTCTGGCTGCCGACCCCATGTTGCACCCCAGCTGATTTTTGAGTTAGTGCACCACCGCGTCGCAGACCGTGAAGCAAGGAGAGTTCAGGAGAACCCGCGCGTCATAGATTTTAGATGCTTTTGGGATAACCCGTGACAAACACACAGCTCTGCATGACGCCACGTTTACTATTCGGAGCCTGGAATGTTGCATCCTGCTGCTGCCGCCCGATGTAGTGGTTTGTCCTGGCAGAACAAGCAAATGATAGGATGCCACAACACAAACATTTCAGGACATCAGCAATACCAATAAGCCAACGACGTAGAGGTAGTAAGGTTAGATTTTAGTTGTGCATGAGAATATGTTGCAGTTAGCACCGCTGTGCAGCGCTCTGTGTTGCCTATTTGTCCACAAGGATACTCGCCACGCTTCACAGCACAAGGACCTGCCTCGCCTTATGCGCTTCGGCACCGGTGCCGCGGCTTCGAGATCCACTTGTCTTGCAGCGGAGAGGCGCTTCCACGCCTCAAGCCTCAGACCCAAAGAAATAGCATAAAAAATCTGGAACATCATTTGCACGGCAACAAAACAAGTGAGAAGCCCACGCAAAGGCATACCAAAGATGACGCTTGGATGGTTGATTGGCACGAACGCAAATGGAAAAACATTGTTAGATGACGCGCATAGACATATGGTTGATAAACACATGAGCGCACAAATAAAAGTACAGCCCCTGCAAGCCGGGTAGCAGAAGTTTAAGAGAGAGAGAGAGAGAGCGAGGGAGGGAGGGAGGGAGGGAGAGAGGGAGAGAGAGAGAGAGAGAGAAGATGTGAAGATGTGAAGATGTGAAGATGTGAAGAGGGCAAGAGAGCAAGAGGGCAAGAGAGCAAGAGGGCAAGAGGGCAAGAGAGAATGTGAAGATGTGAAGATGTGAGGATGTGAAGATGTGAGGATAGGAGGATGTGAAGATGTGAGGATAGGAGGATGTGAAGATGTGAAGATGTGAAGATGTGATGTGAAGATGAGAAGATGTGAAGATGTGATGTGAAGATGAGAAGATGTGAAGATGTGAAGATGTGAAGAGGGCAAGAGAGCAAGAGGGCAAGAGAGCAAGAGGGCAAGAGAGAATGTGAAGATGTGAAGATGTGAGGATGTGAAGATGAGAAGATGTGAAGATGAGAAGATGTGAAGATGAGAAGATGTGAAGATGTGATGTGGAGATGAGAAGATGTGAAGATGTGAGGATGTGAAGATGTGAGGATGAGAGGATGTGAAGATGTGAAGATGAGAAGATGTGAAGATGAGAAGATGTGAAGATGTGATGTGAAGATGTGATGTGAAGATGAGAAGATGTGAAGATGTGAGGATGTGAAGATGTGAGGATGTGAAGATGTGAGGATGTGAGGATCGGAAGATGTGATGTGAAGATGCGAAGATGTGAAGATGTGGGAATGTTTGACAGACCCCCAATATTAGCAGGACCCTTCGCTCAGACGCTCCCGGGAATAACCTTACAAACTAGAACAACCTAATAGGTAGGATTTAGTCTAACCAGAGCTATTGGGTATTCTGAAGGCCGATGATAGACGATTTTGTGATGTGGCAGGTGGCCTGTTGAGCGCGTTGTTGCCACAGTGTCTGGGTCAGTTCGGAAATGAGATTGGTGGGCATGGACGGCAGCCCATTTCGCTTGGTCCATGTGCGAAGACCAAGATTGAGAGTGGACTGGTAATCCTTCTTGGAAGGGACACCTTGTTCAGGAATGAGCCTTCTGCTATGATGGCAAGTTCCGGAGAGAGAAGGCCCGCAAGGAGTGATCTCGACAAGACCCAATGTGGAACGTCAGGGTTGAGGGCTGCCTTTTTGTATTGGGACCAGTTTTTGCAACCCTGTTTATGGTTGCAAAGTTGGTCCAGCACCGAGGCGTGTTTGACGAAGACAGTCTTGAATGACGGAGTATGGCATGGGACTTGATGAGCCAAGACATCAAAATGCCATTTGCGGAGGAACTGTTTGAGAGACTTGTGTAGGTCCGGACTAAGGGAGCGCGTGGCGCTGGTCTTCCATGCCACCAGCGGATGGAGGCGTCGATGGCCTGAAGTGACAGGGTCCGACAAGGTTTTTGACGTTGTCAAGTTCAAAAATTGGGGAAGTCTCGCAGAATTGCTGCGTTTTCAGGCTTTCAGGTAGACAGACAGACAGGCAGACAGGCAGACAAACAGATAGATAGATAGATGGATGGATGGATAGATAGATAGATAGATAGACAAGTACAACTACAACTACCACTACACTACACTACTGCTACAGCTACGAATACAAATATGCCACGCTACATTAAACTACACTAATTACACTACACTACACTACACTAATTATATACATCTAATTACGCTACACTACACGAGTTACACTAACAACAACAACTACTACTACCACAACTACAACTGCAATTACGACTACACTACACTAATTACACTGCAGCACACTACAACTACAAATACAACTACAAATGCAACTACAACCACACTACACGACACAACACTACACTACACTGATTACATTGCATTACACTACAACTACAGTTGCTGCTGCAACTGCAACTACAACTACCCGTACATTACATTACACTACACTACACATACTACACTACACTACACTACACTACACTACAAGACACGGCACGACACGACACTACTAATTACACTGCACTACACTACAACTACACTACCTTACACTAGACTACACTACACTATACCACGCTACACTACACAACTCTACACGACATTACACTGCACTGCACTACACTACTTACACCACACCACGGCTACAACTGCAACTGCACTTGCCAATAAATTGATTACACTACATTACAGCTACAACTCCACTACACTACACTACAACTACAGCTACAACTGCACTACACCACACTACATCCAGCAGTTGTGGTAAGGTGACCACTGCAACCATATGCAGCCATTCCAAAAAAACAGAACTCCAACCAACCACCTAGTGGATTTGCTCTGCCATCCGTGATTCACAACAACCAACCTCACCTATAGGTTTCCTATTTTTGAACACAATGGAACATGGCTGTCAGCAATCTCTTTGAGGCACCACATATCCAACTTTAGCATGGCGGACGCGTTCGATCGCATCCGATCGCGTCCAATCATGTCGCCGCACCCTTCGCACAAACGAGGTTCGCACATCGACGCCGGGACAGACTTTGCACGAAAAAACATGGCAGCTTTAGCATTCTGCACGATCCTTCCCTTTCAAAAATCGCCTTGACACAGCATTTCGACTGCATGGAGCAACTGTTGGCTTCCAAATCGCATTGCATGCTTCGCTTCCCTGCTCTTTTCACTTTTCTCTGCTCTCTGCCCTTCTTTGATCTCTTCACTTCTCTGGTCTCTTCAATTCATTGATCACTTTGTCCTTGGAGGAAGTTTCTCGTCGAAACGTTTTAATATAGTATGATGTAATGTAATAATGTAGTAATATAATAATATAAAATAGCTTAAAATAAGATATATTAACATAATATAACATAACATAACATAACATAATATAATATAATATAATTTAATATAATATAAGAAAAAATAAAATACAATAAAATGCATATGTATATATATATATATAACATAATTATATAACCTATATCTATATACAATGTATATATATATAAATAACATGTACATATATATATATATATATATCATATAATATATAATACAAAAATAATATATATATAATATATCATATGCATGTATACACACTTACTCGCTTTATCCGTTTCCCTACGTTTTCTTGCACATCATTTCCAGTCAAAGCGTTGAAGGGCAAGGGCACGCACCCTCGGTTCAGACCTTCACCAAAGGCTGAATAGCTTGGTGTGGTCAGAGCACGTCCAACCTTATGCCGTCACATCATCTGTGGCACCGTGTGTGCCAAACGATGGCAAGAGTCAGTGCATTCTGGAGTCATGCTCGTGCCATGATATCTACATACAGTACGGAGAGCAAACTTGTTCAGCCAGTCTTTTTCGCGCGCCACGTTTCAGCCAACTAAAGACAGGTCATTGGCCTTTAGCGGAAACATGGTAAGCTGCCCCATTTCAGGGAGCGCTGAAGCACATCTATAGCAAAGACCTCACTACATACCGTTCTTCATCTACATGAGTAGCACCTTGCACCCCGCTGTGTAGAACCCAAGGCAGCACAGCGCATGTGAGAAAAGCACAGTACATGGCATGTGAGAATACGAGGATACTAAAGGAGTGGCAGCAATCCATCCTTCGCCAAAAAAGAACCCCCAAAAGGAGCTGACTGCCTGATAGACATGCTCTGGCAGCACTCGCCTTACACAGGTCTCCGTCACTTGATGCAATTGAAACAAATCTGGCCACGCCAAGTCTGCCCAGCAAAATTGGACCAGTGACGATCCCCTGCCTCCGCCTCTTCCACAAATAGCCCAACCTGAGCTGCCACCTGCGCGTGCTCCAGAAATGTCACAGCGTAAGGATGACACGTTTGGGGGTAAATCCAGCAACAAAAACCACTACCATTGGCACCTGGGGGTTAGTCAAACCATGTCAAACATAGTCAAACCCACCACACAGGGCTTTGATGCCGATGCCAATGAATTGGTAATCTGACTACGTTGAATGGGAAACCCATGGCAGCCCTATTCAACGCCTTAGACTCACGGCCCTTTCCCGACTGTTGGAGAGGCACCAAGGGAGAAATGCGCGCTTTCAGCCTTTCATTGGGGTGTGCTTGAAGAGTTCATGTTTTTTTAAATCTTTTCATTTTTCATTTTGATCATATTTCCACACCTGCCAGGTGAGGGTTGTTAGATTTTATCAGAGTTGTTCTCCTCCTCCTCCTCGGCTAGCTGTCCTCCTCCTCCTCCTCGTCCTCCTCCTCCTCTAGTTTCTCCTCGACCATGTCTGCATCAATTTCCACCTCCACTTCCGCCTTGCCAACTCTTCGCCAAGCTCTTTG